ACGGCCACATGTGGGCTCAAACCGCCCACCTTGGGGCTTGGATCCGAGTGCACACCGCTTGCATCAGCCAGGGCGGCCTCCCTTATCCAGGTCATTCCTGATTTCATAACAGCCCATCCCTTGGTCCCCTTGAACCACAGCCACGTCCCAGAAAGTTGGCAGTGCCTCCCAGCAGGGGCGGCCCTGCGGCTCTGCCAGCCGGCGTGGCCCACTTCTGGGCTCAGAGAAGAGAGCTGGAGGGGGTGGGGCGATGCTGAACCCATGTCCAGATCTTTCCAGCGCCAGTCCTTTATCAGGATGGGGGCGTGGGAAACTAATCGTGGGCGTCTGCAGTGAGGAGCTGGGTGCTGGCAGAGGAGGGCTTCCCCGTGAGGCTGTCAGCCGCAAGGTCAGCAGTTCGAACCCACCTGCCCCTCCTCGGGCAGAAGGACAAGGCTCTCTACTCCCACCAAGATCCCGCGTTGGAAACCAATGGGGGGCTGTTCTACCCCGGCCTTAAAGGGTCGCGGTGAGTCAGGAGCCACCCGATGGCGGTGGGACTAACTAAGCTGATTCTGATCCGGTGCGAGGCAGAGGGAGGAGCCCCGGTGGCGAAGCAGGTGAGGCGTTGGTCTGCTAATCTCAAGGTCAGCAGTTCGAAACCACCAGCCGCCCCTAACCTTGGGAGAAAGACAAGGCTTTCTCCTCCCGTTACACCCACAGGGGCAGTTCGACCTTGACCTTTAGGGTCACTATGGGTCAGAATCCACTCGATGGCAGTGAGGTTTTTCCGCGTGGGCTACACCTCTGGGGGCACAAGGACTCTGGCCCCCGCTGGAGCCACGCCCCCAGGCTGCACGTGGGCGGAGCCGGGCCCGCGCGTGCCCTCCCCAAGCAGGGAGGAGCTCTTTCGGAGCCTGCTGGGCCGTGGCAGGTGAAGTGCTCACCTGATGCAGCTCCTCGTAGGTGGTAAACAGGAAGTGCTCTTTGCCCTGCATCCGAATCCAGCCTTTAATGTGGTCGAACCAGGAGCCGAATTGCACTGTGAGGGGAGAGGCAGGCGGGTGGGCACCTCCATATCTGGGGGCCTGGCCCCTCAGGGCTAGGTGCCCCTCCCCCAGCTCTGTGTCTCTCTAGACTATGGGGGTGACCTGCTCCCTCCAGACCCTCCTCCATCCACTTGGAGCTCCCTCCCAGGCCAGGGTCGCTGGAGAACAGAACAGGGGCTGGTGGCTCAGGGACTCTGCTTTTCTTATCATCTGGGGCCCTGTCTGCTTTTGGCAACACCTCACGCCCTGATCGCCCCCATCCTGAACTCCATACCTCCCCGCTTGCTCCACTCTTTATTCCCTGAAGCCAAACTGCCCCTCCTTCACCGCCCCCCCAAATGTGGCTCTTTCTCCCCATCTCTCTCTCACGGTGCCTCTCTGTCTCTGTTTCCTTTGTCTCATGCTTTTCTCTGTGTCTCTCTGTCTCTGTGTCTCTGTGTCTCTGTGTCTCTGTCTTTTAGTTTCTCTCTCAGTCTGTCCCTTGTTGCTTCCCTGGCTCCTTCTCTCTCTCTCTCTCTCTCTC